ACAGCGTGGCAAGCTCAAAGGGCATGGTAATCTATGGCGCATTGACATTGTTAAGGATGAACGTATCGGGCACACTCTGACATGTAGAACTCTTAGTCACTGTGACACATTGGCTGAGTCTTGTGTCAAGTTGGCATGCGGCATGTGACATGTCGATAGTTGATTGGACATTGTGACATAATGGCGAAATCCATAATACCGTGGCATGTATAGTCGGTATGTTTATCATTGAGACATACTGGAGTGTTGAACCCTATGAAACATTGTTATATATTGTTATCGCTGTGACAAATTGACGGATTCGTTGACACTGCGACATATTGGATCCGTCTTTAACATTGGCATTTTGGCAGAATCTTAATGACTGAGTCATACTGGCACAGTCTTGAACCCTAATTAAGGCACGTTGACGGTTAGCCATTCACTGTGACATATTAGGTCCGTCTTTTACATTGACATTTTGACAGAATCTTTATTACTGTGACATACTGAGAGTCTTGACCCATATGACATGTTAACGGTGTCCTATTCACTGTAACATATTGGCGGTATTTTTTTCGCTGCAACATACTGACGATGTCTTGAACACTGTTTCTTGTTAGTGAAATCTTAAACACTAGCATGTTGAACTCTATTGTGACATCTCGAAGGTGATTAGAACTGGAACTGTGGACTGTTGAAAGTGCACAGAATCTTAGTTACACGTAGTAGTAGAAAAGATGTAGTCCTGCAACATTCTAGCCGCATATTTGTCGCTGTGACATTGTGGCAAAAAATAGACCCATGTGACACGATTCCAGCATAGTGATCATGGTGACATCGTGGCAAAGAAGCGACCATTGTCACATCTTAGCAGAATATTGGTCTTAACACGATAGAGATTTCTAAAGCACCGCAAAGTGTTAGGCACATATTGATTACTGCGAAACCTTTGCAGTATATCGATCACTATGGAATATTTGAGGTGCGTTGTAAAACAAAGTGTAGTATCGGCGAAGTAGAAAGGAAAGTATGTCAGGAACGTATCGATTAATATAATTGCCGGATATGTTCGACATATGATAAAACGTAAGCCGAAACGCCATGACAGGTTGCAGATATACACACATCCTCACGCATGTGTGTGTATAGTGACGAGCGAGCAGTGTACGACGACACACGCGTGCTTACACAGGACCAACATAGGTATAACCAAACAACTCGATATATATACCTATATTCTGTTATTTTAACATTTAACGTAAAATAAACTACCTATATATTTGCAATTAAAAAAATCACTTCGCTAGGTCAGCTATTCCGGTAAGAATACAATATGAACATTTCTTATCGTAAAAACAAACAAACCGATATAAAGATTTGATGGATGCAATACGATATTGCTAGAAAGTTAGTATTATATCGTTTTAGCCAAAAAAATTGTACGGTTATCGATCCGTCGATAAAATCGATCGGTTGGAGACTTTGATAATCGCATGACTAAGTAAAACATATATGTCTGATCTTGTAGATTTTTTTTATCCTCTAGCATCAATCGAAATCAATGCGATACTACCCGAGGATGCGTCTCAAATTGCAGGCGACTGCAAGCATTGCAGTGGTTCGCGGCCATTGTATATAATTACGTGTATAATCGGTTTTGTTAGTTTACTAGCGCGTCTAATAACGGCGACTTCCGTCAGTTCCATTAGCATGAATAATATGCATAGAGTAAAGACTGCTGTACATAATTCAAGCATGCGAAATCACTCATGTGTGTAAGAATTTGCGTAATCTTAGTTGCAAGGTTACGTACGGATGAAATGCATGATTCTCTGAGCGATATAACAACTACTAAATATTAGAATGATTGAATGCTTTTCGGATCGGATCGGATGTATTTATTATACTGAATGAATGAGCGAATTCATAAATAAATACGTAGTGCAGTTATTACCGAATGAAGAAACATTAATGAGTGTGTGATGAGGAGAATGAAGAATTGAATACATTACTGAATGTTTGCTGTAGGTATTACTAAATGATCTACGATCCACTACAATTTAACCCGCTGGCTATCCAGCAAATGATAACGGCTATTTTCAGTATGCGGTATTAGTCCATTTTAATTATTTAGGAACCGAAAAATACCAGATAAATCGCTAATAAAAACAGAGAATTAAAGACATCTACTGCGAATTTCGATTTATTTTGACTAGAAAACTGGGAAATAGCGTATTGTCGTGTATCTGGTACACTGAAGTTTAACGTCACCACGTTCCCCGCTCATCCAGGAATAATCCCGGATCCTAAGTACTCAGTAACATTAGCCATCTGTCCGCGTTTAATAGGTAATGGAACTGACCATGCTACATCCACTCGACCAGACTCGACTAAAGACTAGACTTTGTAGCAGTGGCCTTGACTGTCTTGCGTGTCTATCGACACTGGTTAGCCGATCTCTGCAAATCTGTCACAGTAGTAACCCCAGTCGTGACGTCAGTATCATAAATGACATCAGAGCATTCCGCATTCACGGGCATCTTACGGAATGAGACCTCGAAATCTGCCCATTCGTTTGGCGTGGATAAATTAATTTCCCGTTTTTTCCCCTGCGGAATCACGTGAAGAAACATCGCGATCTGCATACTCATCTGCATATAGTACATTTCAAAGCTCATTATACTTCTGACAGATAGGATGTATCAGCGTGCGACACGTTCGCCTACCAGTGTTTGGACAATTTTTTTCCATTGCGACAAGTAGGCTCTTACTAAAAATTAGCTCCATCATTATAATCAATTAAAGAAATTATAATCCACTAAGCTGCAACTGCGCGCAGATCGCCATCGGACCGCAGTTTCGTTTAAAAAAGAGTAGGCCTACTATTGATCTACGAACGTTCAACACGGCAGGACAAGATTCGGGCATTAAGATGTCAGACTTCCCATTACAGTGTCGAATGTTTCCGAATCGTCTATTTTCTATCATCGACGTAAGGGTACAAGTTCATTTCTCTTAACGTTTCTATTATTTCACAGGTTTCTGATTTTTGTATCGTGCGTTAGCTTTCTTGGCACGTAGCCGTCTATACAGAGGGCCAGACCCCTTTATACGCCGTAAATCGCCGTATGTCGTCGTGTTTGCCTTTCGCAAACCGCGAACTATTTGCTTGTACACCGGAGTGTGGTTTTCCCTCAGAGTAGAAGAATCGAAGTCGACAGTGAGTGAGAATCTACGCATGACCACACAGCTGTTGCATCGAGAGAGAGAAGCTTAAGGGGGTTGTTGGACTAACCCGATTTCCTACATCCGTTGCTGTAAGTATTACGCATGTTTCTATCTCTATACTCGCTTCTTAACGACTCCGGTATCGTGGCTACGTGTGTGACCTTATCAGGCAATCAGCGTAAAACGAGACATCGGACGAACGAAATAGGGTTTGATTGGATCGTAATCTTCGTAGATGATCCCGAGCAACGTGATGCTTCAGAAATGATGTCCAAGAGAGTCGAGTTACAATACGCAGAAAAACATGTAAGAATATGCATATTCATGCTACATCCACACGGATACAAACGCATGCGCGCACGTTCACCGACAGTGACATACATTACACTACATTCTGCCACGCTACAGTACTACACATTAGCACGCACGTACACATACATTTACGCACGTACCCAGGTACCGCTACTTACATACATGTACGTACGCGCGCGCACGCACACACGCAAACACATACACCAGACGCTGACATGAACACATACACGTACATATATACACTCAATGCCGCACACTCGCTATTTGCTTTTTCTGCCGCTTGCTATTGCGTTGGCGGTTGGCGGTCTAAATATTTATCTGGGATAATTTCGTACATTGAATTCTTTGATCATCTCACTCACCAGAGCCGAGAAATCCTGACAGGCAAGTCTATATGCTATTCAGAGGATGATTTCCTGGGGCGCTTTATATTTCACAGATTGGCAGACGACCATCTTTGCACTCGCAAAGATCATATCACGATTGGTTCATCTTATACGCTAGCGTATATTTATTAGATGAGTGGTGTCTATGTACGGGTCAACACATGGCTTCAGTCACCTTGTGCTTCTCACTCAGTCAAACTTGTTGGATATTTCACTATTCGTTATAACTTTCAATTGGTCGCAATAAATACTTTCTATGTATATGTACATGTATATATATATATCAAGAGTACATAATAGAGATGTCTATTATGCTAACTCTTTAATACTATACTACTATATATATATATATATACCTACTATAGTATATATGATATATATAGTTTTGTCCGTGCACTTTAGTAGACGGCAAACGCCCATTTCCATTATAAAGCTTACCGGATTCTGTCCGTGTTCTCAACAGAAATATTATAGTATTCACTCAAATGTATAACATTTTAAAGTCGTGTGCGGTTTCCTGCTTTCTAAAAGCAATTCTATTGTACGTTTAAAATTTATTTTTCCCTAATGTTAGAAATGTCAGGAGACGATGTGAGTGTATAAGGAAGAGGGGTGACGAGTGGGAGCGAGAGGAGAAGAGAGGGAGAGAGGAGGAGAGATGAACATAAGTGTTTACAGAAATGCGTGCATATACACGCATACGAAGCACTCACGCAGGCGCTCACACGTATGCACGCACGCACCTATGCGAACGCACGCATGCACGCGAACACACGTATGCACGCACGCACCTGTGCGAATGCACGCATGCACGCGCACACATGTATGCACGCACCTACATATGCGCACACACGCATGCACGCGCACACATGCATGCACGCACCTACCTATGCGCACACACGCACGCACCTATGCGTACGCATGCATGTACGTATGCGTACGCATACGCGCACGCACGAAATGTCTCTGCCGAAATGAAACGTCGTAACTCAATTGGCACGTAACAAAAAAAACAACGCGTCGACAATCGCAGACGACGTTTCACACCTTATTACAGAGACTCGAGAGCCGAGCAGCGATTAATGAGCCACGATGACCGCCGCCGGCGACGACGACAGCGCCAGCGGCCCTATCGCCAACATCACCGCCATCGCCAACGTCAGCGTCATCGTCGTCGACAACGTCAGTTATGTCGACTTCACGCAGATCGAGCCGGTGCACATGACCTTCGTTCTTCTCTACTTGTTTGTGATGTTTCTCGCACTAGCCGGTAACACGATGGTCGTTTTCACCGTTTGTTGTAACAAGAAGATGCACACGGTCGTTAACTACTACATCGTTAACCTTGCCATTAGCGATCTCATGGTCGCCGGCTTCGTGCTGCCGCTAAAACTCCTGGAGCTGGGCGCGTCGCCAGGCTGGAGCGTCCTTAACAACGGCCTGTGCACCTTCCTGCTCTACTCTCAGCCGATCTTCGTCTTCGCTAGCGTACTGACGCTGATGGCGACGTGCATCGAAAGGTAAGACGACGTAAAGCTCGGCGCACACGTGAGTAATTTTACTCAAGTAAAATTATGCATGCGCCAAAATACTCACGTGTGCGCCGGATTTTCGTTGAGTTTTCTGACGCATGCATCAAGAAACTCAATATCAAACATGTTTGATAATTTTTGACTCATGCGTCAAAATAGTCAACGTGTGCGCGCTAGCTGCGTAAATTTACTCAACACTGGTCCTCACAGCGCATGCGTCTAAATTATTGTGCGCCCAGTATTGGCTGCGCACAGTCACGTGATCTCCATTACCACTTATGCCTTGAGTAATTTTACTCACGTGTGCGCCGGGCTTAAGACACGTCGGCAGTCATTCCGCCGGTCGCCGACGTAGTTCAAAAGCGATTTGTATTATGGATGACGATGTCGGTCGCCGGTAATGACCGGTGGACGCGAGCCCCGGCTTACGAACACCTGCTAATTCCGACCCTCCGGCAGGTATTGTAGACAGACGATGTGTGTGAGACGTCATTATAGGCGGTTGATGTTGGCGGGTGATATGGAGAGGCGGAGATGAAGGAGGTGAAGGAGGGGGAGGAGGGGGAAGAGG